TTTTTATTTACATTTTTTCCTGTGTTTGTCTCGATTTGAATACCAAACCCAACAATACAGTCATCACAACAAGAGGCATGATGGAATGCACTCTAATGTTATGTGTAAACAATGTAAGTGGAAATTTTTAATAGAGACATTAAAATAGTTCTCATTTCCTATAACTTTTTTAATTTTCCAGTAAAACTAAAAGATTGAATTCAGGTGTTGCTTTCAGATACATTGTTGCAATGACACACGCAACAGTGACTTGACAAGAAAATTGAAGAGCTCATTATCATCATAGTGGAATTATGAATGAATTTTCAGACTGCATGTAAATAACTACAAACCATCTTATTTATCTTATAAAAGTTAAAATTATCCTGCTTCATGATCATGACATGGGATTACATTAGGTTGGGTAGATAGAAATATTTATGAGAAAAGATACATCTCTTTTTGTCTCTTTAGATTTTATTCACACATTTTTTTTTTTTAACTCGCTAAAACAGTAATTTCTACTGTGTCATGGCCATTCTTCAGTGTTGAGGAACAATTCCAAGGAATCTAAATCAAGACTGGCGTTGTCCTCCTCCAGACAAGGATTTTTTGTCCAATCCTGCAACATCTCTTCTACAAATGGTTGCAAGGAGTACTGTTCTTCTCCATTAATGCATGTCTGAATCTGACCGCTGCTTCCAAAGTTCAAGAAATCTGCATCATACCCAGAAATCACATGGAGCAGTTCATTTCGATTCCATTGATCTTCGGGCACAGGTGGGTTTTGAGGAGACAAGAAATTGTTAGTTTCAACTACTTCACTTGGTGGCTGTAATGGGTACAGGACCTTGGTGCACCTGATGGCCTTGGTTCGGATAACTTGGGAGGCTTTGGTTGCTGTACCAGGTGGTGAATTTGATGGCTTGGTGATCTGGGGTTCGGTGGCTGTCTTTTTGGGTCCAGAATTTTCCGGTGAGGATGACTCTGTCTGAGCTTTAGCCTTTTTCCCCAGGGTGGTGTTCCAGTAGTTCTTAATTTCATTGTCTGTTCGCCCAGGTAGCCTTCCAGCTATCAAAGACCATCTACATATATACACAGAGGCAAGGAGAAAAAAAAATGATTTCTACCTCTTAATTATATTGAAAACATGATGGAGATGAGAAAAATTCTAAATTACCTGTTGCCAAGTAGATTATGGAGTCTAATTATGAGTTCTTCTTCGTCACGCGATATGTTCCCTCTCTTAATATCTGGTCGAAGATAATTCAACCATCTGAGTCTGCAACTCTTTCCACATCTCTTCAAACCTGCATTTAACAATCGACCAGCGTTCAATTAATTCAGGTTTTAGACTTTATATTTAGCCTTTAGTGCAAGTCTTCTCCGAAGAGTTGTTTCGAAGAAGCAGGGGAAAGCAGAGGAAAACAGAGGAAGATAAAGGCAAAAGATAAAGGGAAATGAGTACCAGCTCTTTTAGGGAGGTTTCTCCATTTGCCTTCTCCATGAGCTTTGATATAAGCTGTGAGAATTTTATCTTCCAAGGCAGTCCATGCTCCTCTGTTAAGTCCTTCCTTGGAGCAACAAGGACTCCTCCCCATTTCTCCTTCTCCCTCTTCGTCCTCTCTTTTTCTTTGTCTTCTCTTCCTCTACTATAGTAAAAGAGGAATCCATAGTCCCTTTTATAGCACATTAAGTCAAGAAATAGTGTCTCTGATGTAGAGACTATGACTATTATAAAACTAAACTTCTAATTAATTTAGCACGGCTCCAAGAAACCAAATTAAGTCTAAAAAGGAACCCTTTTTTTTTAATATAATATCAATTAAATGTGGGCCATTTAAAAAAAATTCAAGAATAAGAAGAAGAGGAAGAAGAGTAGAATATCGTCGCATACATGTTAGACTCATAGCACTATATTTTTTCAAGTTTGGTAGTGTCAATATTTTTCATTACTGGCTTCCATTACCTACCATACCTTTCACCACGGTAAAGTCCATGGTTCAATGCTTCAAGTACTTCGTATCTTGTTCCAAAAAAAGGAAGAAAAAAGCAATCTGAATGGCTGCAGCCAAGTTTGATTTAAAATCGTTTTGGCGTTTTGCCATTCTACGAGATAAATTTTGCTATATCAAAGAAATACTTGCTTGTTTTACCAACCAAAAAAACAAAAAAAATGCTTGCTGGTGTTTTATTATTATTATTATTTTTTTAATTTTAAAATATGTATTCTCATAGTACAACAAATTTTTTTCTCGTAACAATATTAAAAATTCTTGGGGTTTCTTTTTTTTTCCTGTCCTTTTTTTTGGCTTAAAGGTTTCATTGGCTAATAAAATGAAGTAATCCGTGGAAGAAAAAAATGTTCATACCTGCTTTTAACTTTGTTCCGCCAGAAAACATTTAAGTATGTTCCGAGTAATTACAAAGACTTGGATGGATGTTGCTCCAGACCTCTCAGAGCCCAGATTCTTTTGAGTGTCTTAATTAAAATACCAAATGATTTTGTATATGTTGTTGATGTTTTCTTTTTCGCAAAAACGTATATAAGATCCTTACAGCCCAGCTTGAGCGTGACTATTATTATTATAAAGAGGGATTCATTTATCCAAAAATTTTACATATTTAATTTATATAAAATTTTTTTTTTTTTATACTTTTGATAGTTAAAACTTATCATAATTTTTTAAGTAAAAATAATAATTATTTTTAATAAATATAAATAAATCTTAACTATTGAAAGTATAATTAAAATTTTATATAAATGTAATGTATAAAACTTAAATGTAAATGAATCTTTAATCTATCATCATCATCATCATCATCATCATCATCATCATGGCGAATCTTTAATCATTTTATATAAATGTAATGTATAAAACTTAAATGTAAATGAATCTTTAATCTATCATCATCATCATCATCATCATCATCATGGCTTAGCCAATCGTTTGTGTCAAATTTTGTTTTTATACCAACCTAGCAAAGATTTGAGTTATATTAATTCCAATGTTAAGGTTTTCTTCTCTTTTTTTTTTAGTTGTAAGTATATTCGAATTTAGAAACTTATTCCAAACAATTGACAAATACATTCTGGTTAGGGATAATGAAATGCAAGATAGTTCTTTTATATAATTTTTTTATATAGTAATTATATGTTATTAAATGAGTAAATGAGTATGATATCATAAGTTTCAATAGAATGAAAATAAGCAATCATTAAAGATTATATAAGGTTATATGAAAAATTTATTAAAAAAAATTGTCTCTCTCTATTTTTTTTTAAAAAAAACCTATCCCATCTTTCCTTCCCCTTTCTTGAGTCGTAGGTCTTCTAGAATCTTCGTAGATATGCTTTGTTGCCCTGGGATTTGTACAGCCATTTTGCCTTTAAGATTTTTTTTTTTAATTTTTATAGATTTTAAATAAGAATCTTTATCTTCCTTAAATATCTAATGCAGATTTCGCAGCAATCGACTAGTTTATATGATGTGTGAGGAGTATTTGTTATCTATGGTATCAAATCTAAAGATATTTCTTTGATGGGTGTTGGAACCGGCCTTGATTCTAAAAGCTAAATGGTGTAAATAATCTGGGCTTGAAATGATTAACCATTCTGTTTTGTGTCCTGCAGGTGCTCACTAATGAGCTTCTGTTTGACTTTTGTTGCTTGATATGGTGATGAAAGGTTCGGGTGGGTTCAGTTTACTGTATTGTTGGATGTTCACTGTAACCCTTCTACTCCATTTAATAAAATATATTTTTACTGTAAAAAAAAATTTTAAGATATTTCTAAGGTAGATCTAAAAACCGCAATACAACAAGAAACCAATCTTCTTAAGTTGTCTCATCGGTTAACTGGTAAGGTTAATATTTTTAGGAATTGCATAAAGGCTAAGGTTCCTATGTTTTTCACTATTTTGTTATATTATATATAAGGCTCACTATATGAGATTGGATACGAACACTTGTATGATTTGTTATCCCTATTGAATTGCCTAACAAATTTATATTACGAATGCAATTCCAATATTTACCTATAAAAAAAAAAATGTCTCTCAAACATTTTCCTATAGTCAGTCTCACTAAAATTCAATCATTCAATGAAATTCCTACGTACTGGCAGTTATTCACGTGGTGAGGGTGGTGTTGAAGTGATTATAAGAAAATAAGTTGAACAGGGTATGTTTTGTTCAACTTTCAAGTGTTTCAATTTTTTTTGATACTATTTATACTTTATAAATTTAATTAAATTTTTCTCTTCAAAATTTATATTTTTTTAATTTTTTTAATCATAAAAGACCTTAGATAGTAAATTTTAAAAAGTTTCAAATTTTTATTTTTTGAAAACTTCATTTTTACTCATTTTTTACTATTTATAAAAACAATTTTAAAATTTTTTTTCTAATAAAAATTTAAACTTATAAAACATAAATAATATCAAAAAACTGAAACACTTATGAATTTCACCAAATATGTTCAAATCAAATATTGATGCGTAGGCCTATAAATTTTATAGACATAACTTTTGAGTTTGGATGACATCGCCTCACTCTCACCAGACGGTTGCGTTCCAACAATTACAAACTAAATGAAAGCAACATAAAATTAGAATAATCCAGGCATTGATAGACAATTATGGAGTTTTAGATCAAACATTGTACTACAATGGGGAAGATGCTTAAATTCTTTGATGCATAATAATCCCAGTCACGTAACAGTCGAATTTTAGATCTGAACTAGAGGAGTCGAAAATTTCTGATGCAAGCAGAATCTTCCAGTATGCAAAGATTGAAAGAAGCAGTAGTATGCAGCAGAGAAAAAAAAAATTTTTTTGACACATGTTTTCCAGTACTGGAATTTCCATTAATTGGTTACCTACTCAAAGTTGTTAAAGCAGTGTGCATGACACTCAAAATCATGACACTGAGCTCAAAAAAGCACTATTCGAACACGTTGAGAGACTTTATTGACTTCCGCTGCTCGCCGGGTGGCTGGTGGCCATGTGAACTTTGGCTGCATGTGTTTAAAATCGCACCAAGCCAAACTACAAATTAAGAAACCTTCTTACATCATCATAGTATGCATGATGCCGACTCTTCAACTTCATATGATATGATTCGTAATTTTGTCTATTTAATTTAGAGCTTTGCTTTGAGGGTTCTTTCAGCAGTGCTGCCTACTTTTTTCTCAGCTAACTTTCAAAGCTCTTTGTTTAAATAAGAAATTTGTAAGGTATGTAGTCTCAGAATTCTGACCAAATCACCAGTATCTAACTAACTTGCATTTGATTAATATATATGACTATCAATTATAAATTAACAATGTTTATGCGAACCCATTTAATATTATTTTTTGGATTTTTTTTTCTGCAACAACACAATAATTTGTTTTCGATTATTTAATATAGTAATCCAAAGGCTGTTTTTTAACTTCTCAGCTGTTGGTTTGGTTGCCTGGTGAATCATTTGAAGATGATGAGGTCCCAGAAATACCAAAAAAGATGACATGAAATAAATTTCTCCAACTCAAGACCCCGTACATATGTGAACAGAATGGAACGTCAGAGGAGAATTTCGCGATTTGAAATTAATTTATACTTGATTAAATTATGTTGCTTACGAATAAGAATTTTTAAAAATTGTTATTATTAAATTTAGATGATTTTATTTTTTATATGTTATTCCGACGCTCGGAAAAATCATTTGGACATCAATATAGAGATCTGTGAAAATACATGATTTTTGTCACATTTTCACTTAAGTGCACACCTTTACATACAAGTTCGGTGTAAATTTTATGTTTTATTATATGGTTTAATATACTCTTCAACTTCTAGTGAGCTAACAATGAGTTTAACATGCATGAATTTAACTTACTTTGATATTAAATAAAACATGAAGATATAGGTCGAAACATAAATCTTATATCCAATTTAAAATTAATTAACTGTATATAAAATATACTTTCTTATATTTAAGGCATATGATTCTTTATTATATTTTTAACATAAAATTTTATTACTCTCATTTCACATGTAAACCCAATATGAAATTTAGAGCATATCACATCACTTAATAGAGATAAAGTACCAACTATTAAATTCACGAGCCAAAGTCTATCATTTGCCAAGCTCTCTCTTTTGTGACAAGGTTAACTAATTTTTAGGGCCTCAAAACTCAAAAATTTAAATTCAAATGATTAGTAGTACTCGCTGTTCACAATCATATATAGATATCATTCACAAAAAAATCCAGTCCATCCTTTCTTCTCCTTCCATAGGCAACAGGTTTTTTAGGGTCAATGTTTTGTCATTTTAGGATTTGTGTGATTGTTCAGCCTTCAAGGGTTTTTAATCTTCTTTTGGTTTTTGATAAGGATCTTTATCCCTTCTTGTGTTTCTAAAGGAGATTTGTTACAAACGATTGATTTATATAATTTTTATATAATATATACTATTTATTGATGGTCTATAATATCTAATCTAAAAATATTTTTTAAATAAATCGAAAGAATGTGATACAATAAAAAGTCAATTTTTTAAAGCAGTCTTCTTAGTTGTCATGATTGATATTTTAAAGAATTGCATAAGGGTTGAAATTACCATAATTTTTTGTTGTTTTATTATATTAAATAAAAATATTATAATAACATATTCCAATGGAATGAGATACTCACACTCATATAATCTCTTTTTGTATGAGTTATTTAAAAATTTTATATTATAAATACAATTTTTATTCATCTATATATATATATATCATTCACAGTTATAGTTTCATCTCTCTAAAGTGCAACTCGAGGGAGACAATTAATTTTCGGTCAAGTTTTTCTCTGATATAATTAATTGTCAAGTTGCTGCCTTTCCTTTTCTTGGGGACACAGTTTATGATTAGAGTTTGTATGGTGCACGTCACAAGTTAAGAGAGTTTTAAATATATTTTTATATATTAATATATATAAAAAATAAAAAAAATTAATATTAATTTTAATATTTATAACACATAAATATTTTTAATTAAATAATTAATAAAATTAATATTAATATTAATTTTTATTATATGTAATAATAAAAAAATATAATAAATACATATTTATCTTGTATTTTTAAAATAAAAATACAAGATAAAAAAACCCTTATAATTAATGGATGAGATAAGCTTTTATGCAGCATAGAACAGACCAGGGGAAGGGGAACGGATTTGTATAAAAGCAAATCAAAGCAGGTAGTAGAAGATATGGTCCTACGCATGCAAATTGCAACCAATTAAAAGAACATAAGAAGAACTAAAACGAAAATTATTCAATGAGTGATAGTTTCAATTAAAGTATTGTTATAGTTATTATATAATTATAATATAATATTAAAACTATATAATATGTTATTAAATAAATTAATATATATAATATTATTGATAAATTTTTAAATAAAAAAATGAATATATAATTTATATTATATTATAAATTTATAATATTATATGATATTATAATTATAATATTTTTATTTTTATTAATGAAATTTACTCCTTATTCATTAATAAGGTATTCAATTATTTGAGGAGAATATAACCATTCATCAGTTCCGTGATCCTGGGAGCGTTAACGTCCAAAAAATGTAGGGACAAAAACCGAAGGAACCGCGATACGGGATCGTGTTCAAACGCGTGATTGACCCAGGAGCATGGTCAAATTAAAATGTCACATTGACATTTGTATTTGTACCTTATTTCGGCCTGGAGCTAGCGGTCACCTAGAGGCCACATGGTCCTAGTGTACAAACTACAAAGCGAAGAAATAGTAGCAATAGCTAATAACTGGTGTCGGTCGGAATCTAACTCAAGCCATTTTCAGACAGAAAAAAATTTTATATAAAATTTTTATAAATAATTTTATATAATAAATAATAATAATTTAATTTTTTATACGTAATATTTTTAAAAATATTTTATATAAATAAATAATTTTATTTATTAAAATTTTTTATATTGTATTTTAACGATACAAAATAAAA